GCAATTGTTTTTAATAGATATAAATGGGTCATATATTTGTATTGCTTGAAGTTTTGAAATAAGGCCATTTTCATGCAAGTAGCACTTTAAATAAATAAAAAGAATTAATAATGATTTCTTATTTTTGCAGAGAAGAGCTCACAAATTAAAACAGCACAAAGAAAGAGAAGAAAAAATAAAACAAGATGCAAGAAAACGTGAACAAGAAATTGAACAGGAACTTATTGCCAAACCTGCAACCAAGCAAAAATCGTAAACTTAAGTCATTAAATTGTAAAGACATTCAATATTTCAGAAAGTATGTGTTGCTCAGCAAAGGGKAAACACAAGGTGCACACACTGTCAATATACCAAAATTAACCAAAATTATTTGAGATTTTAGTGAAAGTGTCAGCATTTACAGTTGTTTTTGTGTGCACTAAATTTCCCCTTTTCAATGAAAAAAATATGGAAACAWAAGAGCATTTTTGAAAGATAAAACAAATAACTAAATTGAATTATCGAGTTATCTATTCAGGGGGAGCCTTCTGGTTTGAAATTGATTGTTATAAATTTTGTTTGCTGAAGGTACTATTTTTTGGCAAAATTTTGGAAATATTCATTTATTTGTTGCAACTAGTTGGTTTTGTACAATTAACAAATTTAKTATCACACTCATCAGCAAGTTACAGTCAAGACTTTTGGAAAACTGTTAGTAATGATTAAATCAGACATGGCTGCTACTAGTAGGTTACAGTTGCATTACATAATTCACAGGGACTAAAGCTTCAAGGGATCATTTACAAATGATTAGGAACTTTTCACTGAGGTACACAATTGCATTTTTGCTATATTATAATAGGGTTTACATTTTTCATTTTTATAACTACAGCAAAGTGAGAATTTTCCAATAATTACATATTTGCACTCTTTTTGATGTGCACTTTTCAGTGTTTATCTCAGTTATCATGTGTATGTGTTGTCACTGTTTTTCTTTAAATATTTAGAATTTTCTTGCTATAAAGTTCACCCCCTATGAAAAATCCTGGATTATCCCTGGTAACAGGTTAATTTTACTCAAAAAAGGCATTTCTTTAGTTGAACACAAGTCAGTAGTTTCTTGCAACTATCCTCACTTATACAGTCACAAAGAAATTCTTCCCACGGACTTGTAAATTTATATCACTAACAGTAATGTGCAGAAATTATGATTTTTTTGAACCATATTTCAAGTTGTATATATAAAATTTATCAGAAACTATGGGATATCATCACCATTTATTTCAGAAAGTACTGGTGCAAGCAGAGTTCGTATAGTCTTGAAAAGTCCTTGATTTTTGAGCTAGGTCCTTGAAAATTCCTTGACTGCAAATTTTCCTTGAAAAGTCCTTGAATTTAGCCTGTGTACATTTCGAAAGTGTTCTTGAAAATGATAATTTAGTCCTTGAATCAGTCTTGGTTGTTCTAAAGTAATGTTTTCAAAAAAAGAATGCTACAAGAGTCATAATGCATTTTGGTTTTGCATAGGAGTTTGAAAGAGTTAATTAATAATATAATGCTCCAATTGTTTAAATTCACGCGCCGCGATATTTGTTTTCTGACGGCTTGGCGCAACGACGTCAAAACACTACAAATATAGGAGTAATATCCCGTCTTTCTCAGTTTTCCAAAATAACTAGCTCGACTTCACGCTCTAAGAGCGTCTAGTTCAAAAAATGCAGAATTCCCTGAGATTTAAATAAATTTGACCTAAAAGGGCATGTAAACAACAGATAGAGCAGCACCGTAACATAACTGGAGTGTACCTATCGAAGTTTTTTGTACATGGACCAAGTACTAGTCAAAGAAATCTTCCAGAAAGTAACGATGTGCGTACTTCTATAATATTTTGGCTTCCTGTTGCACCAAACAGCAGAAACAGACAGATTGATCCAGCAGTAGAAATAAAGTCGGGCGCTTTGCTATCCCAACAAATGATGCTATATATTTTAGCTGTGTTTTATGTAGCCTGCGTCACATCCGGACAAACTTTCGGTTAAGACTTAACCGAAAGTTTGTCCGGATGTGACGCAGGCTATGTTTTATGCAGTATGTAKAAGTTATTTAAGTAGTAGAAATAGACAGATTTATTGAACAAACTTTTGTAGTTGATATCATGTTATTATACTCATCATATAAAAATTCGTTATGTAAAATGTTATTATTTGCCTCWACCGACGAACCGCCCTAAACACAGCAGGCCCCTAGGCTGCCTTACAAATACGAGGGGTTCGTTTTTTCATAATCCAGACCTAAATTAAAGGTTTAACTAAATTAGTTCAATGCACAGAATAGTGAGTTAGAAATCAAATGGCTGCAAGTATGAGCAGCTTATACAAATAACCATCTCAAAAACAGTTCATAACAGAGAAACACCGGACCCTTTAAGCTTGTGGTGGGGGAAGGGTTCGGCCGAACCCCCCAGCCTGCGGACCTACACAGTCAAAGGTACTAGCTAGTGACACCTCGTGCCATGTAGTCGTCCAGGATTAGATAATAAACTAAAATTCTACTTCATCTACATAAAAAACGACCCTGATAACTCTTTCTTTACACATACTTCCCTTTTTCATAAAGGTTATCGAGGCATTCTTCTGCACAATATTAAACGACTGAAGGCACGTGCGAAAAATTTGCTCATCGTCCCGTARCACAGGGGATGTAAAGCAGAAGGGAAATGAGTCATCAAATAGATATAATCTCGTGTAATATCAAAATATCTCCATGTCGTCCAGTGAATGATACTAAAATACTCGAGTATAAAGAACACTTGGTAAGGGAAATAGAACGCTACAAAAATAATGATAATAGCGTAAAACATTTTTAAAATATTTCTTTCCAGRTCGGCGAAGCCTTTGGCTTTTCTTGACTTCATTCTGCGACGCACATTCTGAGAAGGTCTAGATGCGCAGTTTTCGTTTGCTTCCTCGTTGATGGCTTGCATTCTTAGGGTATTTTCGATGTTAGGTTGCTGAAGTGTAGAGATATTTTCTTGTTGTGTTGTTTCCCCTCTGTTGTCGCTGCTCTCGTCTGCTTCAGCTCGAATTGAACGATTTCTGTGGTGTCGCAACTTAACTCCGACGAAGCCATAAGAAGCAGACATCAGCACTATCGGTAAAATATAGTTTAACAGGAACTTTGCCAAGTAGTATTGCTTCAAAGCTGGGGATGGAAATGTCTCTATTGTATCGCCGGGAAACATATCTACACACCAATAGAGATTCTTCTTATTTGGAATTTGAACGAGCTGTTGGTATAAAAACGAAGGAAAGACAATGGCTAGGCCAATAGTCCATAACGTGATGATAAGCATCGCTGTTTGTTTACCGGACATTCTCTTACGTGGATGATCTCTAGAAAACACTCGATACCTGTGTACGGCTATAGCCGACAGAGTATAAGTGATGACGATGAGGGTAAGTGCTTGAGACGGATTAAGCAAACGGCACATTACTTCKCCAAAAGGGAAATGTTTCAGCTCGTTGTAGACTTGTAGAAAAACGTTAAAGACAGTGCCAATCAACTCCCCAAARGCTAAATTCGCCACAAGGAAGTGGGTGACCGTCTTACGTTTTGAGCTGTCAAATACTGCCTTCAAAACGATGGCATTGCCAAGTAAGGACGCCAACATCACAAACGCAGTAAGAGTTAGACGAAAAACCTTGAGGCCATCGGGCTCCATGTACATGCTWAATTTAGATGTAGAATTACTTGAATTCATCGTAACAACTTAAGCCAGGTAATTAAAACAGTAGTTAGTGGAAGTATTGCTGGTCGTTTCTTTCTATTGAAGTGATGTAAACACACCAATGAACGTTATATCAACAGACTGCGAGACAGTGGGTGAATGACCCTGCTCTTCTGCGACGGAAGCGAAAGTTGATATATGGCTATACACAGCACAGAGCGTTTTGCCCTCGCTTGCTCCAGTGCGATTAGATTTCTTAGCCGATACAGCCAATAATGAGATAAAAAAAGGGATTTGCATTGGCTTGTTGGAAAGCAAAATTCCAAAACTCTTAAACATTACGAACAAGAGTCCAAATTGCTGTCATTAAAAACAGAGTGTCATCGACCTTACGTGATACAAACCATAGAGTGATTGTATTGTTATTGCTCCTCAATTTTAAGGTTTGTCGCTCAATGATATTTGATACAGCTTGTACACTGGATACCGGAGGCTTGTTTAACTCTTAAMTCTTAACTATTGCTCATTTTCTATTATTCCCATGAATTTCTAAAAGACAAAAGACCGGCGAAGACACGATAGTATAAAGCGCGCGTAGCAAGAARCGATCCTATAATTCAGAAAATATGGAGACATTGAAATAGTTTCCGCACCCAAAAAACGTACGAAAAGGTCAGAGCTGATGTTGATGTTATGCACCCACAATGCATTGCATGCTTTAGCCGCATGGTAAAACAAAGGATTTCTATGTTTTCGCCTTCAAAAAATGTGTAGGTACTTTTACCGTCATGCATATCGGGCGCTAACTAWAAATATTCAACACATGAGCTATCTCATCTTCTATATATTGTAAATTATTGCTGTCGCAGCRTAGCGCGCCTGAAGCACGCGAAGCAAGGCAGCAATCCTAATTCAGATAATGTGGAGTTTCCGTAAACAAACGTGCGGAAAGCTCAGAGCTGATATTGATATTATCCACCCACAATCCATTGCTTTCGCTGCTAAAACAATGGATTTCTTTGTTTTAGCCGTCAGATGTGCATGACTGTACAAGTGACGTATACATTTTTTGACGGCGAAAACAAARAAATGCATTCCATGCCAAGACTGCGATGTGGTATTTGTTGGGGATAGCCTCCTTCGCAGGCTACTCCATAGGAAACGGACATTTTTCTCTTCTTGGTCTTCCTGTGTTCATATTCTTGACCGAGAAGAACTGGTGTCGAGAGATTAGGTAGCCCCCTCCCCCTCCGGCAGGTTTTTTGTCTTAACACAGGAATCCCACGGAGTAGGGTTGGCTGCGAAGGAGGCTAGTGACAAGTCTGCATTTGCAGACCATGCTAACCACACAGGACATGATATCGCGTGGCGGGAGGTAGATGGACTCAAAGACGCTGGCCTGATTCTTATAAAGAACTCCTTTTATTAAGAGTTAAAACACATTAACTAGTCAGAACTGCATTTTATCTTTTTCTATTTTAATGTAATCCTCAACTTTTGTGTTTTAATTGCGCTCCTGATGTTTGTAATTTCAATGTTAATTGGTTTGAACTATTGCAATTATGTTACTATGATAGCGTTTTGTTTACTATTGTATCCTCGCGCACGCATTGTAATTTCTGATAGTGATGGACAAGTTGTCCGAAAGCTCGGAAATCAATAAACGTGCGTAGAAGAAGCAAATCTTTATTGTTTAGCCGCGAAAGCAATGGATTGTGGGTRGATAATATCGACTGATCAGCTCTGAACTTTCCGCACGTTTCTGTACGGAAACTCCATATTTTCTGAATTAGTATAGCTACCTTGCTTCGCGCGCTTCAGGCACGCTACGCTGCGACAGGAAATATTCATCACACGAAGTATTGTGAATTATGTATGAGTCAATTCCAAAGGTGCCCATCCCCCCCGGGCAAACCCCGGGCATTTGACACGACTCAGTTACCTCCGTACAGTGGGGAATTAATTTGACTCAGACGGGCGGGCATTTGACGAGTAGGCGACCATCTTGGAAATTATCGATTCAGATGCGAAACCGCTATTTCGTGACACAATACGAACTTTTAAGCTTAAGTTAAGAATAAAAATATCTCGGGAACCTGAGCATTTTAATAATAGTAATACGTATTATCTATATAGCGCCGATATCCTTACAGTTCAAAGGCGCTTCACATGATCAGTATTTTTACCGATCGCTATTAGCAGCCACGAGGCTTACAATCATGTTTGGGAACATTCTCGATCTTTTGTACTTTCACGATGAGAAATCACGATATGAAAAGCAACAAAAACACTCGAAAACTAGCGTAAAAAACTGACTTATGGGGCGGGCATTTGACTGTCAATTTTACCCATATGGTGGGGAATTTGACCACTTTTTTTTCGAAAAGTCAAATGCCCGGGGGTTCGCCCGAGGGGGGGATGGGCACCTTTGGAATTGACTCATACATTATACCATGTCGCTAGATTGAAGTCATTAAACCTGTGAAGTAAACATCTGACTATCCAAATGTGATAGTCAAATAGAAAATAATGCCAMAAAATGTAATATCTATTTCACATGTCTATTGACTTCAAGTAGCCAAACTTTTAAAGCGCACGATCCGTTTTAAAAACGTTCAGTTTGTGCATCTATAATCTACATATTAACCGAATGAWGTGGTTTGACCTCGAGTTACAAGCATAAAAACACAAGCTCAAAAACATTCTAGCATCAACTTTTTATTTTGGAGTGCTACGTTTGTAGTAATTTAAAACCCATCCACAAATCCATGACCTACATAAAAGTTGTCTTCCYCACTACAGGATTCACACTTTCTTATGCATTGTAACCACAAATATTATCTATTAGCAACACTGGTCTACACAGGGCGCCCAGGCTCAACAGTTGTGTTGCTTTCACGGCGGTGTCAAGGTATTGCGTGGTTCGCGGTTCGAGCCCTCATGAAGCCGTAAATTTTGTCTACTCCATTTCTTAAGACTTTTCAAGACTTTCTCTTTCTTTTAAAGCCATTTTTATATTTCCCCCCCTCGTAGATAATATTTACGAGGGAGGAAAAATTGGGGAAAAATATAACAAATGTCTTTAAAAATCAATCTTCATTAAGGTTACCCCGGACACTACCGGGAGGTGTTTTAAAAAAAATCATATCTCGCGCGATTTAATAGGAAACCCGCAAAAATTATACATTTTCTGAGAAACAAAATGACAAAGAATCCATATCTGGACGTATTTTTTGATAAAATTGATTATTTTAAAAGACATCAAGGACTTGACGAGAACACAGTGTCTCCGCGCGAGAGATTCGTTTGCAGAAAGTTTTACGTAGAAAGATAAABTWTTTTVATAATCCTGTTACCAAGGCATTGTTCTGCAAAAGTGTCTCTGCGTTTGGCTTTTCAACGCTTCGTTATGTTTTTATTCGATATTAAAGTTAGACTAGGCCCTATTTTACGAGAAATCCAACTCGAAATCCAACTCGAAATCCAACTCGAAATCCAACTCGAGATCCAACTCGAAATCCTAACTCGGCGTTTAGGTAACCTCATGACAGGATATAAAGCAGATCTAGACGTTAAACAAAGATCTCAGGTACAATTTTTCGTTATTTTTATCAGTTTTCTATGAACCTCAGAGAAATACCTACATGGTTCATTCAGACACAAATAATGGAGATATTACCACGGACATTATGCCAGATCACCTACTGACGTATTTCCCCGCAGTGATAATCAACATAATAAAGCATCGGATTTCAAKAATATATTTCAAGGGATACGCTAAAAATATATACAAATATAAGTAGAATAAAATTAGATAAAACTTGAAGCTATAATATCTCTGTTTTATTTAATATATGATATACATAAATAAAATGAAAATCCTATACGAAAATCCAACTCGAAAATCCAACTCGAAAATCCAACTCGAAAATCCAACTCGAGAATCCAACTCGAGAATCCTAACTCGAAGGATAGGTATCCTCTTCAGAGAACCTCAAAACGTTTTTTGTTTATAACTAGTTTAGAAAAAAATACATCGGCATAAACTTTAGTCAAAGTTGTAGATATACTTCTTTTAATTCCCTCAGACTAATTTAAAAATTTTGAAAGATTTGACGAAAATAGTGTCCGGGGTAACCTTAATAAAATGATTTTAGAAAGAAAAAAAGAACGCTTTTTTTCTTTCTAAAATCATTTTATGCAAAGCAAACTTTCATCTAATAATTCTCTGAGGATAATGCGAATGTTATCTAAATGGTAAAATTTCGCTGCAATGATAAAGATATCTAAAAAATTATGTGAAAAGATCACACGCAAAATCTATCAARTYGATCGCGGCGCTGAAAATATATATTTCACGGCAAAACTGTTCCACGAAGTGGTTCTTGTTCGAAGTTAGTGTAAGTCGATGGACGTTATGTTAGCTTAAATAATATAAAAATTAGGTAACACCTAAAAGCGGAGCTCCAATAGCAAAACAGAAGCTGAAAATGATTATCTATAATAGTACTACTATTTCAAAGGTAGCCTTTAGTAGAGATGCGCTGTTTCAAGGAATGTTGTTAGCTTAAGAAAAAGTTGTTTAGATATGAGAATTTCGTACTCTAAATGTAATATTGACCTCGGTAGATTTTGTTCCGTTGGACGGAGTTATTCAGTTATCTGTAGAGGTCATTTTATTTAAACTAAACTGAAAGCTCGTTGAGCTTGTCGGCAAAAATAGTCTTCATAAGCTTACAATAATCATTCGGATTAAACGCAGAAAAAGTTCGATGATTGAAACCTTCCCCACAGGTAGCCCAAGCACTACACTTGTCGGCTTTTCTCAGAAGGTCTTGTGGGGGAAAACGAAAAATTCAATAAAAGTAGGAAATCTTCATAAAATGAATTCAAACTCACACAATACGTCGTTCTTAGTTTATTACACATCTATGCGAAGTTTCAGCTCTCTGCAGTTTATACCGTGACACTAACTTTGTCACAGGAGTTGGTCAAAGACRTCGTGTTATCAAAGTAGCACCGATTTTCCCGGCACTTGGYACTTGGGGAAGACAAAGCAGCTGCCTAACCAACTTTTAATATCATTAGCGGGTTCGACATCACTGGTTGTTTTGCTGGCAAAGGAAAAGAAAGTATGCTGGAAAGTCTTTGAATTGGGTGATGATGACATCATTTCCGCTCTAAAAAGTCTTGGAACTACATATGAACCACATGAGCGAACAGTACTATGAAAGGTTTCTAGAAGTTTGTCTGCAAACTGTATCGACTAAACAGTGCTATTTCAGATGTAGAGACGTTAAGGTGGGCATTATTCAAGAAAACCCAGGCACAATCAGAACACTTACTGCCAACCCAAGAAGCATTACGTGCGRCTGTACTAAGAGCAAACTACCAAACCTTGATATAGAACAATGACGTTGATTTCTTCCAACACCTGATGTGGTTTCGGCTGGAAAATCGACAGCAATATGGCAGATGGGTTCCTGAGATGACAAAGAAGCGGCCAGCTCCAGAAGCCATCATTGAGCTAGTGAAATGTGGATGCTCCAAGCAGCGGTGTAACATCAAGCCAATGTCAATGTCGTAAAGCTTGTCTTACCTGTACTGAATTGTGTGCCTGCTGTAATGATGATGATGATGATCCCTGTGAAAATATGAAGGATGATGACGATGGTAATGAAGATGATGTCGTTGTATCTGACGACAGTGTTGATGATTCTAAAATGGAGTACTAGAGACATTGGCAGTATTTTACATGTTAAACTTATAATATATAACAAGTTCGTATGGCAAAATGTTAATGTCAATTTTAAGCCTCACTTCCATGTATCAAATAGTCACATGACAGCTTAAAACAGCTCACAAAGTATTCATAAGGAAAGCTAGATATCATGAACCAATTTTGACATGTTTTGCCGTAAAAAATGATTAATATATAAGCAATGAAAAGTAGAACCTCGATTTCATGTTTATGGTCACGTGACCCCCCTAAAATGAGCTTTGGTGCATAACGAAGACTAAACTAGATATTATGTTCCCTTTCAACTTGTTTAATTCTAGAGAAATATAACGTAGAAGCAACAAAAGCTAGAGCCTCGTTTTCATGTTGTATWTTTTACTAGTGGTAATTTAAAATTTAATTTCATAAGAAATACCGTAGAAATACTAGAAATACCGTTTCACTGTACCAGGATTATCGTGTTATCAAAAACTTCTTATTGTCTTCGATGGATGTCAGTATAATTGCAGTTTTGATGGTCGCGGCGTAGATAGCGATTTCTTATTTTTCCGATTTGTCTTGAACAGGGTATGGATTTTTACTTTCTAGTGTCTTAAACAGGGTAAGGGTTTTAGACCGCTGGCGGCACGTGCCTATCCAAAACGGGGTTGAGTAATCCCCCCCCCCCTAACCCCAACCCCCTAAATTATTATAATTTGATTCATCGTGCATGTATCGTTCCGTATCAATCTTCGAGTTATGTTGCCATTGGCGGCTTGATTCTTAGCTATGGTGCTCCGCGGGAGCTCCGCGCTATTACAAAAAAATACGATAAAAAATACGATTTCAGTGATGCGAACGACGGGCTACAATGCTACGGCTAAACATGTGAAGTCGGTGAAACGTAATCACCGGGAATCCTGTCTTTTGTACTTAAAAGCAAGGGCGGATCCAGAATTTTCTCAAGGGGGAAGCACCACAGACTTTAGCCTTTTGAAATGGGGACACCTTACAGAATCTGGTGTCTTGTAAAGGGCAATTTTAAAGAATTAATCAAAARATTTTCCCAAAGTGGGGGACACCAGCGGGACGAATAAGTCGGCATGGGCAGTAATAAATAATGGCTTTGATTTCTATGTCATGCACAATTGTAACAATTTCTTAAAATATTACCGAACTTTCGGTTTGATTGTAAACTTGGAAATTCGAAATTCACTTCAAAACGACAAAGGCAGTCAATTATTCTTCACATATAACTTTTAATAATATATGTGCCAACATAACAAGTAACCATCCGAAAACAGCACTTTTAGCACCATCACAGTGTAACATATCAATATTAATGTCTTATTAAAGAGATGTGACTTTAACCCCTCGTTTGCTCGGATCACTATCAATGTCTACAGCGAAGCCCCTAACGACATTGGGACTAGAAAGTGGCGAATCACTTGAATCTCGTCGACTTTTAACGACGGGCCGTGACTTTTCGTCGACTTCTTTCTTCACACACTTCTTACAAAATCCACGTTTATCTGTCTTACTACGTCGCATCCAGATATTTGGCTTTTCTCTACAAACACACGTGTGCTTTGGTCCAACGTCCTGTGTAAATTTTGCGGTTGGTTCTTGAGTTCTGATAACATTCTTGGTATTAGAAACTCTGCTGTCTCCTCTCTTTATCCACGCATTGCCGAAACCTCCCGCTTTAACTCCAAACACATTCTTTTCTTCATCGGAGTCTATGTCTGCTTCGCGCTCACTCTCCGAGTCCCTGTACGACCGAAACTTCTGGGTGTGTTTCTTTCGATGACGGGATGAACTAGAACCCAGGCTCTCGCGGCTCCCAGCGAAGCGTGCGGGATTGTGAACCTGACGTCGATCAGCTTGTGAACAGATATATAGTTGAGACATCTCRATACTTTCAATAGCTTGGTCCTCGGCCCATTGGTTGAGCCTGCGAGCCGTAGCTGGAGACACAACAGGTTGATTTTCGCCATGTTGGCTGTTGCTTGTCTTTGCGGTTACTTGTAGCGGGTAGCTGTCGGTCAGAAGTTGTAAAACAGCACAACCATCGCTTGACGAACGGGAATGTTGTCCCGTAGCTTCCGTTGCTGAATGACTGGCTTTCGTTTGATGATTGTTCTTGTTCTTCTGGCGACGGTGTTGAGCTAAGGAGTCGTTACTACCACTCCAGCGTGCTAGATGACCATGCCTTCCCTCGGAAGCCCCACTGCCTATGCTGCTCGAATCCATGTGGTTTGATCTACGTACATTCCCCGAGTGTCTTCCCGTGGTATCCATAGTGACATCCCGCGTGTCTAAAGTGTGACAAGCTTTGTCTTTGGTCGCTTGATCAATTGATGATGAAGATCCTCCATGGTAATTACTCGTTTCTGTGATATGTGAATATGACGCTTGTGTTGGCTTACGATGAACGTCTGGAGACTTAGTTCTGGGGGATGTTTGTTGGGGAGACCTGGAAGTTGACGACAGAGTTTTGTGTGGAATCCCCTCGACGTTCGTAGCTTCTTTGCAGTGTTTTAATTTGGATTGAGTCTCTAGTTGCCGACTACTTGAGGGAAGACTGAGACGATAACGCTTTGACGCACATGACGACACAGACTCACTATCGCTACCATGGCGACTGGATGGCTTCACGGCCATTAGGTTACGAAGTGCAGCTGCGGAGGAGGTGGCGACGGCTTTGTGCTTAGAGGTCACCAATGACTTAAGTGCGCTGACGGCTCCTAGTTCCCATAGCWTCTGCTGGTCTTCGATACATCTAGCTGACAGATTCCACAATGCACCACAAGCATTGCTAACGACGCGAACACTGGAAGATCTTAGGTGACTTAGTAATGTTTGGAAGCAGCTGTTGTCGCGAAGGATCTCACGACATTCAGGAAGTACAGCAATATGGGATGATAAGTTCCTAAGTATCCCACCACTGCTTTCGACGACCGACATGTTACCACTTGGACTACAATAGCTCAGGCTTCTCACGATGAACCGTAGGGCACCAGGAATATTGCACAGTTCGGTCTTGTTTTCAGGACAGTGTGCTGACAGGTTCCATAGGCCACTGAGCAAAGTCCTTAACACAGTCTCACTCTGGGCCTTCTGTGCAGCCTCAAATAATCCTCTAACCGCACCCACTTTACGCAAAGCATCTCGAGATACTTCGTCAGCACGCCAGGAGAGATTCCGTAGGACGCTAGCGGATACTTGCACAAGTTCTTCTTCGTTGGTGGTCTTCAATTGCGCTATAATTGCCTTGACTGTCTTCTCCATTTTGCACAGTATAGTTTTATTTTTAGTGTTTCCAAACGTGAGGTTCGTCAGGGTCATACCGGCATACTTGCGAAGACTGACACTGTACAGATCATTGCAGTCGGCGTTCACTTTATGGTCAATTTCCACGAGCTCAGCCACTGCTTGGCAGCCTCCCAATTCACATATGGCGTTACGGTGTTCCTCTTCAAACGACAACTTCATCAAAGCAGCCACAGCAGGGCCTGGGCCATAATCCCGTAAAGGGGGATACCATCTCTCTGCACATGGATGAGGTGGGAGGTTACTGTACATAACGGCATCGCAATGGGCTCGTACAATCTCTAGAAGCCTTAACACACGGATTTCCCGCCTTCCTCTGCGATCCTCAGGGTTGGAGTACACAATATTGTGTAGAGCAAGACCAGCTCTAGATCTACAGTCACGTCGAGCCATTGGGTTGTCATGGCCATGGATCAGGTCAATGAGTAAAGGAAGACAGCCTGACTGCCTCATTGCAGCACACGAGTCTTTGCTGTTGGACATTGCGAGCAGCGTTCTTGACATATCGTCTTTGTCGTGGGTYCCCAGCAACGAGATCAAGGACTGCATCATGTCGATTCGAGTGTCGAGGTCATGGTGGGTAGCAGCGGTACTCGCGAAGCTGACAACACTTGACGTCTCTAAGCCTTCAAGGGCGTCGTGAGGTGAATAACAGTTTGCTTCAAGACTTGATTGGCTGATGCTGCGAGCAATACCTAGGTAAATCAAAAAAGTACACGGTTATTATAGCAATGCAGATGAACGACAATTTGCTGGAGACAATACACATGGGAATTCCGTAAGCCTATTATTCATCATTCTACTTGGACCGACCTTACAGTAAGAAAAAAGATGACAGCAAACCCATTAGAGTAGCAAATTTAATAACACACATTCCAAAAACAGTAACACCCCGCATATGAGATCTTAGGAATTAAAAAAATTGTAAAGTTACAAAGAAATGTATCGTAACAGACAGCAGTTCCTGGATGCATATTTTTTTTT